CAAATAGATGAGCTGTGCCAAATTTCATTCAATTCGGATAATAACTGCGGCATGTACTTTGTTTACAATTTAACATGAACGGACGGACATGCATAAATCGACTCAGAAAGTGATTCTATGCATATTCTCAAAAGGAACCATGGGTCTATCTCGTTTCCTTTTGCCTGTTACAAACAAAGACATAATACCCTGTACCACAGTGTGGTGAAGGGTATAATTAACATGGCCAGCTAAATTGAAATATTTTTGCCATTATTGAATGTATATTTTTCATACTCTCCACCATAAGATGCGTTCATTCAGTTTGCAATATCTAGAAATATTACCGATATTCTTGAAATTTTGCGCATAAGTTGCTACTACTTTTAGGATGTTTGGTACTGAAAATAAACTTTGCACACACTAATATTTGTGTGTGCAATGTTTGGTTGAAATCGGTACATTTGCATGATATTGTAAACTTCATTTTCAACTAAATATTGACCATTTTGAGGGGGAGATACCAGAAGGAGTTATTATATTCGCACATCTTCGTATTTGATCAAATTTTGGAAGAAATAATACGATGTACAATATTTGGATGAAATTGTGTGCATCAACCAGTCCGCCAGACAGGCCGACGGACAAATCTAAATCGACTCCAAATTGTTTGAAACGGATTTGGTCTAAGGGGTTTAGTCATAAGGCTGAAGTATAAAAATTATCATTATTAACTTAAATTTCAGGGTAGACCCCACATAACCTGCCTAATTTCGGTAGTTTAAGGAAGTTTTTCCACCGAATTGCCTATATTTGATATGCTATTTTTTGGTGTTAAATCTTTCTATCTAATTTTTCTACCATGACACCACTTCATGGTGGATGGTATGTTTTTATGTCAAGCGAGTAATGTGGTATATATACATAGTAGTATTCAGAACAATCATACCACAAACAGGTGAAAATAGAAAATGGGCCGCAGACGATGTGAATAAAGCTTTAAAAAGCTAAAACACCCGTCCTTCAAATCTATCTGCATCACTGAAGGATGAAATGGTAAAATATTTGCTTGAAATGAAGTAGTAAATCTTCCTACTACAAATTTTTAATATAAGTCCAACTTTTTGTGATGCCCCCACATAACGCTACACCCCAAAGATCGGTAATTTGGGGAACTTTTGAACGTGTTTCAAAAAATTTGGGAGCAATTTAATATTTTTGATTTGGAAAATGTCTACCAAAAATTATCAACAGAGGACCATGTTTCAGGGTATGCGCCATATAATGGTATACACTTCACGTGGTGGAGAGTATAATAAGTTAGACCCAGCCGAACTTAACGACGTTTTTCTTGTCTGTCTGCAATTTTTTGTAGCCCCAGACAATATAGAGCATTCAGAGCGACGCGTAAAAGTTAGGAAACAACCCGGTTTCGTTTTTAAAGAATAACGTCGCCTCTTACTTTGGCAAAACTAGTGAAATGGCGACTTCCCTTTTGAGCAACGTAGGTCGGTCAATTCTGAATGGTACGCTATAATTTGTTAGCCTAAAATATTCGGAGGAATTCGAAAAAAGAACGAGAGAAGAAAAATCATGGATCAATAGTTATACAAGTTAATTATTTATTCGTTTTTCCGGTCAGAAAGTAATATAACAAATTTGGCTGAAAATGATGATCCATTTGATGTGGTTTTATTTTTGTTTCCAAATTATAGACATTGAGCGACGCTGGGGGTTTTACAATTTTTATAACTTTATTTTTTAATAACGAAGTGAGGGAGGAGACAGAACTTTTGTAATTTTTCTCGCATCTCTTATGTAAGTTGGGGAAATAATATTTATGACTTTCAACGCATAGGGGCTTCGTTATACGTGGCGATATATCTAACCATAGACTAAGGTTAGACACTAATAAAGCAGCAGGTGCCGATGGGTACAAGCCGAACTATTCAAGACTTGTGGTCAGATGCTGGTAAGGAGCATACACCAGCTGATTAGTACAATTTGGCTAGAAGAACGCATGCCCAATGATTGCAACCTCAGCATCCTGTGTCCCGTGCACAAAAAAGGAGACAAGACGATATGTGTCAACTATAGGGGAATAAGTATCCTTCCCATCGCATATAAAGTGCTATCCAGCGTACTGTGTGAACTACTGAAACCAATGGTCAATTCAGATCTGGCAAATCCACCATCGACCAGATTTTCACTCTGCGCTAAATCCTGGAAAACCCCCACGAAAAACACATCGACACATTCCATCTATTCATCGACTATAATGCTGCATTCGACAGCCCTATCCGTTCAGAGGTGTATAAAGCCAGGTCTGCGTTTGGCATTCCTGCAAAATTAATACGTCTATGCAGGATATTTTTAACTGGCACAAGATCAGCAGTTAAAGTTTGAAAGGACCTCTCGGAGCCATTTAATACCGAACGGACAAGGTGACAGTTTGTCGTGCAACATTTTTAACATCCTGCTGGAAAAGGTCATACGAAAGGCACAAGTGAACAGAAATTGCACTATGTACACCAAACAACACATGTTACTCGCCTACGCCGATGACATCGACATAATGGGTCGAACACTGAGAGCGGTAACAGCCACCTTTGAACAAATTGAAAAGGAGTCTGCCAAAGTGGGTCTGGCAGTAAACGGCGAGAAGACCAAGCTGATGTTATAAACGCGCAAGGCGTCCAGTAGACTCGGACCAATTGTGGAACTTGAGAAATACAGCTTCGAGGTAGTCAACAATGGCAGTACCTTGGTACTGCCATAAACAAAACGAATGACATCAGTTTTGAAATTCGGAGAAGGATAGTGATGGCCAACAGATGCTACTATGATCTAAGTAAGCGATTCAGAAACAAGCCCACCTCTCGCCATACTCACACTCTACAAGACGCTGATACTACCCGTGCTGTTATGTGGATCTGAAGCATGGGTACTTGCGCACACAGATGAGGCAGCTCTTGGAGTGTTTGAGAGAAAAATTCTCCGAAAGATCTATGGGCCGATCTGCGTTGACGGTGAATATCGTCGTCGAATGAACCATGAGTTTTACCAGCTATTCTCGGACATCGACATTGTTAGACGTATTGAGCTGCAGCGACTACGTTGGCTAGGTCATGTTGTGAGAATGGATGAAGATGTCCCAGCACAAAAGGCATATAAAATCGAGCCAACTGATGGATCACGCAAAAAGGGGAAGGCCACGAATTCGATGGAAAGATCAAGTCGATGAAAACATTGCCGAATATGATCTTTCAAATTGGAAAAAAATTGCGCGACGCGCCTGGAAATCTTTTTTAAGCTCGGCTTATGGAACAAACGTTCAGCCACAAGCCAGCTAAGTAAATAAGTGCAGATTTATTAAAATGTTTCGTTGTCCGTCTGCAAGTTCGTTTTATTTTTTAATTGCCTCTGTTATGCCAAGCCTTATGTATGTTACTTAAGGGGAGTTGCCAATCTCCACTAGACGCGTCTTCCCGGATGGCGGAGGGGAAGGGTGTTTCTACGATGTGCAGGGTGGAGCTGACCTAGGTCAATCTAAGCCGGATCTTTTCTCTGCACTTCGTGGAAACCTTGGGGATCTTCGGATACCCTGTAGACCAACATGGATTGGGGTGGTGCCCTTTAAATAATTAACTACGATGGTTAAAGAACAGGAGAACTGAACAGGAAGTCAAAGAACAGGAGAAATAAAGTCACGGTGCATGGAGTTGATAACCCAGTACCGACGGCAATCGTTGGTGAGACCACATGTCACGTGTCGTCGAGATCAAGCGATTGCGATCCGGCTGCTCTTTGTGTGGATGCCTTGGCGCTTGCAGCTGTACCTGCTACAAGCGCATCATGTTTACCCCTAAAAAATGACGAACCGGCAAATGGAATACGAACTAGTCAAGACTGATACTAATCAGTCTACGACTGACAGGACTGTAGTTCTGGGAGGGGACGATCTACATTGGAGCCTTAGTGCTATCGGCGATAGTTTAGAGGAACAGAATAGGGAGCTCTTCGACGAACTGGACAGACTTGTACCGGAAAAGCAAAGTTTAGATACCCTTCCGGAGGAACTGCTACTAAATCTTAAAATCTTAGGAAAATTAACTTATTCTATAGAAGAGGGCGGTAAATTGTGAGTGGTACACTTCAATTTGCTTGCCTAAAATAGTTCTACAAGCCTCGTTATCAGCTTTTTTCAAATGTATCTCTTATTTGGCTCAAAATGATGATTAATTTAATGTGGCCTCATCTTGTTTCCAAATGATACACAGCTTGCTGTGAAAACTTTTGGGCGCCACTAGGCGTTTTATAATTTTTATGACTTCCCTTTTTAATAAGTCATGGATGCAGGGGTTTCTTGAGCTAAACGACAACGAGGGTGAGGAAACGGAACTCTTAGACTTTATCTCGCATCTCATATGGAATTTTGAAATAATATTATACCAACATTTACGGGAATACGTTATATGGGCACTATATCCATCCTATATATCTATATCCACTATATATTTCTTCCTTTTTTCCGGCCTAACATAAATTATTTCCTTGTTATTGTTTATAAATAAAATTCCAAACATTTATTGTAATTTTTATTAAATATATATTTTATTTAAATAATTTACACTTACATATCTATATCAATAAATAATAATAAATTATTAATATTAAATTGTTTTTTTGTTTATATTGTTTATATAAAAAATTAATCACACAAATAATCGTGACAAGAGACTTAAAACTTAATAATTCTGTGACCACTTTATGGTGTTTTTTGGTAGGGTCTCTTAAGGGTGCTGTTTTTTGCAAAATGTTTCCAAAATCAAATTATAGCTATGTACAGTTGGAATGAAGGATAAGGAGAAGGAGGAAAAGGCGGGAGAAATAAATACTATATAAAACATGATTCGTTTTGTTTTTCAAATAGATTTTGGTATAGAACAGTATCTAATAAAAAATACTAATAACATTTTAGATAAATACGACTTTTTATAGAGCTACACATTTGCGTTGCGTTACGCTTTCGTTGCCTTTTGTTGTCGCGCCAAATTTAGAGCTTCCAAATGGGCTTGCGAGAAATCATCATCTACCAAAGCATCAATGCGTTTGATAAGTTGTGAACCGGCTGCTGACTCCTCTTCCACCTCTTCGTATTCATATTCATCATCAAATCCCAATGAGGAGAGGTCATCTTCATCGTCATAGACGGCGGAGTTATCCTTTTGACCGGTTAGCCGAGATTCAGGCAGCTGATCATAATCGAATATTTGTCGGGTTTCACGTGGTAAATATTCGGTTGTTGTTTTCATCGCCTTCAAGTCTGCTTCGTCATAGTCCTCATAATCTTCGGCCTTTATGGCTTGAAGTTTGGTACTGACCCGCGCCTCAATTTTGGGTTCTTCCGAATTCATACTTATCGACTTCAGTTTGGTGGTTCCAGTTGGTGTAATGGGTTTCGTTTGTTCAGCTGTGGGTTTTTCTTCTTTGAGCAGAGAATCCAATGAGGAATCCAGGAAGCTAAGCAATCCTTGCATAGCTGTGGGTCCAGTTAGACTAAGACTGGGTTTTTTCATCGTATCCAAAACATTTAAATTATTGGGACTAAGTTTTTCTTCTTTAACGGGAGTTTTTGAGGCAGGGATTTTTGCTTCTTTAGTGGGTTGAGGTTTGGGTTTTGGAGTTGTGGTTGTTGTTGTGGTGGTGGAATTGGTACTCGGTGTTGTCTTGCTGGTGGTCACACTTAATTTGGGTGCTGTTTTTTTGGTTGCCTTTGTTGTGGTCACAGGTTTTGCTGTGGTGGTTGTTGAGCTTTGTGCAGCCTTACTGTTGGGCGCCACTTGCTTCTTGGTGGCCGAGGGCTCTACCGGCTTTTTGGTGGTAGCTGGCTTGGATTTTTCCGTTGAGGCCTTTACGCTCGGCTTACTTGTGGTCACACTGGGTTTCTTAGTTGTCGATCCAGTGGTGGTCTTGGTGGTGGCGGGTTTGGCTGTAGTTGTTGTTATCTTCTCCATGGCCTGTGTGGTCTTGCTGTGCAAATGTTTCACCTGGAAGGTTTCTGGTGTTCCACGTTTCTCATTGGGATCAGCACGGCGCACTACAGGTTCCCGACTTGATATGACTGGTACAATTTTGGGTTTATGTGGATCCAATTCATCTTTACCATATGTCTTGACCTTCGAGTGACCTTCGATAATTAAATACATCGGACCCCTTAGAGGTTTCTCTGGCTGATTGTAGTGCGAGAACAGTGAATCGGTGGTCATTTTAATGGGAGCCACTGTGGGACGATAGGCTAAATTGCTGGTATTGGGTATGAGCAGGCGTGTGGGACTCAAAGTGGTTGTTGTCCTGGTGGGTGCTTGTGTGGTGGACACTGTGGTGTGGGTATATATGGGTGGGAATGTGGGAGAGTTGGCATATGCAGGTGTAGTACTGGTACTGCTTGTAATATAAATTGCTCCTTGGGTGGGCATGGGTGTGGTGCTGGTCGCAACGGGTTTCCTCGTCGTAGTAGTGGTGGTGGTCGTGACAAACGATACAGGTGTATATGTGCTGCTTACTGGTGTATTGGCGGATAACATTGGTTCAAAGTGATGCTCCATTTGATGTGGCCTCATACTGGATTCCAAATGATAGGCATGCGATGGCTTTATCGACACTTCACTGTGATAACTATTGGGCGCCACTGAGGGTTTCACCGTTTTTATGACTTCCTTTTTCAGCAAATCATGGATCCAGGGTTTTCTTGAACTAGACGAAGAGGAGGCGGAATGTTTGTGAATGGATGCCGAACCTCTAATCGAATTGGGGGAATAATATTCATGACTACCAACATTTATTGCCATGGGTGTGTTATGTTGCATACTGGGCCGAGTGTAGGTCAAATAATTCACCGATTCTTGATGATGGGCATCATGGACTTGACCATGACTGGGTGCTGAATAATGACTGGCACCATGAGCCATTGGTTGTTTGGCCATATGATGGGATGGCATCGAAGTGATCATAGATGAAGCTGGTGGACTTGCAGCATGCATCCAGGGTTGTGAGGAGGATGCTGATGATGATGACGATGTTGAGGATAACATGTGATAGGGTTTGGCATGCATGTTCATGGATCCAGACATAGCTGGGGAGTTGACATAGGAATGATGACTTCCGCCACTGCTGGCAGGCATGTTCATTTGATGACGATATTCTCCATGGACTTGGGGTTTCATCATGTGACCCATGGACATATGTGATTGAGAGTGGGATTGTGGTGTTTGAGGTTGGATAGACTGTTGTTGTTGCTGCTGTGGCATCATAGGTTGCATGGGTGGTGGCATCAAATGTGTGGGCAATTGATGAGCATAATAACTACGCCGCACAGAAGTGTACTTGGGTTGCAACAGTGGGGTTTCTCCCTTGGCATTTTTCACAATATGCCCTTGGCCACCATGTACATGTGATGGATGATGCTGTTGTGGTTGTATGGGAGCACCACCTCTTATACGATCTCCTGTTACTCCCAATAGCAGAATTTCATTTTTCCCCGGATTTGCCTTTTTCAATTTGGCATCAATGACATTTGTAGCAACATCTTCCTGTTGGTTTTCCTTATCCTTATCGGGATCAGCCCAATAACGTACACGATCCAAGGTTGGTGGACTATAATCAAAGGTGGGGTCATTCTTCAATGGGTCACCACGGCCTACTGGACGCCATTCATTGTTATTGTAATCCATGCGGGGACTAAAATTGCGCACTGCAAAGAAATAGTCGGGAGAAAAAGAAAAACGAAGATGATGAAAAAATTGTAATATGAGAAGCAGTTTTTGTTGCTTTCTTGTTGTTATGCACAGCAAAACCGTTTAAAACTTAGGCGATAAAAATCATAATTTTTACATATGTTTTCAATGATTATTACAAGCGTGTTATAATTGCCGTTTTTATTGCCATACAATGCTCTAGAGAGCTTGAGACATGTTCGCAAGACTTAGCACTGCAATTTGATACTTTTTTTTATAAACTGGAATTATTGGTCTTGTTGTTGTTGTGTGGTTTGTAATGCTCTAGGCGTTATAGTGATGATAGCACAATAATGGAAGGTTGAAGTTAGGTCTACCAGCAAGACTTGGGGAATTGTTTGATTCGGAAGGGGATTAAAAATGTAGTAGAACCTCATAAACATTAATAAAAATTCTCAATTTAAGGTCTTATAATGTCCGCTTTAACGAAGTTCAAGATCAAAAATAATACAAGGAAATTGAAATTCAGAAAGCTTTTCGAAAATGCAAGATGATTATTTAGTTATCTTAACAACAGCTTTACTGTTGGGCGCCACTTGCATCAACAAGCTTATTTGTTGATATATATTACTCTTGTATAGATTTGTTCTGACACGTACATCGTTTTTCGGTTATTCGCGGTTACGGATTTGAGTGCTATGGGAGTATGTTGTGCAGCATTTGGTTTAACTTCTTCGATCAAATAATGAAGCAAATCAATACCTGCCAGATAGGCTAGTTCTTTCAGTGAATATAAAATATTCAAGTTATACTTTATTTTAATATTAGTAGCTTTATCTGTGATTGGATTTCAGCTTTCTACAGTTATGCTCATTGGGCGCCATTTTTTATACTTTGGAGGTTATGAATTCAGCCTGAGTAAATATAGAACATTCAAGTTGCATTTTATTTTAATTTAAGTTGCTTTAGCTGTGGCTATTTTTGAGTTTTCAACAGTTGTACAGCATTCCCACACATCAAGAAAAAGTTCGGTATCAACTATGTTCTTAGCGTTCAAACCTCATTATTTGGAGGTATTGCATATGCCATAACTCACATGCAATAACTCATCTCAGATGATCATAATGGAAGGTTTCTGAGACTTGAAAAGGTTACGTAAGAGATATAAAACTTCTGAGGTGAGATTCTAAGGCATATAAGGCATTCTATGGCTCAGAAGACCTCCGAAGGGCTCCTTGAAGGTATATACAACTTCTGATAAGGTCCCCTAAGGCAGCAAAGTCATCTGAGATGGTCATCACGGAAGGTATCTGAGTCCTGAACTACCACCGAAAAGGTTATGTAAGGGATAGAATACTCCTGATGTGGCATATAGGATCTCCGCAAGGTCTTCGAAGGCATAAGGAAGCCCCACGAAAGTCATCTAATGTCAATAAGACCTATGAGAAGGTCCTACAATGCATAGAAAACATCCATGAACGTCATATAGGGCATAGAATACCTCCATAAGGCAAGGTAATAGCGAAGAGAACATCCGAGGAAGTCTACCAAATCGACGAATATCTCAGAAAAGGCTGGTGGTTTTGTTGGTATGGGCTGCCAATTATTTTTTGTGACTGTGACCTCAACTAAGTTCTAGATTCTGGCTGTTCGACTTAATGAACGGTTTCTCATTGGGGTTAGTTCTATGCAAAATCAAATTTCCGAATTGGTATAATATGTAATATATTTAGTTTGTAGTCCATATGTTTTGATTATGGAACGATCGATATACAAACGCTTCTCTTCAAAATAAAATATCCTCTCATCAGGGTTTGTAAATAATTATGCATTCATATACCCAACCTCGGCACCGTGAGTTTCAACAAATTATGGATGACAGTATATAGCGACACATAGAGGAATAAAGCAACACTTAATCAAACAAGGACTCCAATCACTGCACAAAATTTAAGGAGACGTTGTTACTAGGCAACTCGAGATGACAGCCTCTTCATTTAATATTCTATTACTAGCACTAGGGCTATTCGAGTAAGATGGCGATGCTTTGTGGAAGCCGCATGCTCCCTCAAGAAAAATTGTTGTTAAGCGTTGTTTCTAGGCATCGATAGGTGGCAGCCACAGCTCGTAGAATAACATCAAAAGAATATCACATAAAAAAGAAAAGGCATGAGATCCTGAGGATAAATGACAACACTGAACCCGGCAAAGACACAAACAACTCCACAAAATTCATGTCTGCGTTGTTTCTATGGAAAGATAGATGGCAGCATCATCACATATGATAGGCTACATGAGACTCAGCATTAACTTAGTTGGAAATTAAAAAAATAACTATGATTAACGAAACTTGTACAATGACTAATCGATATTTGTGGAAGCCCTGTGCTCCCAATACTAACGGCTATATGGGATTATATCCACCATATTAACATAAACAAACCATATAGGTAGTGTCTGAATAAAGTGTATAACATTTACGACATCTAGATATCTTATTCTCCTTCTTTTTTTTGAAAATAATTTATTAAAACCTTTCAAAGAAAATTAAAACTTTAGAAAAATAAATTGGATGTTTTTGATAACAAAAACCCCTTTTTATCGTACGATGATCATAGATGAGACTTTTTACATATCTATTACGATATATGAAGTATTTTTTTTAAATCCATTACGATATATGCTAGACTCTTAAAATATTGTAATGTTAGATCGGTAGATGGAAGGTTAAGTAAAATATTTAACATATTTATATTTCTCAAGTAAAAATTGTGTAAAAAAAGACACACTTATGCCCACGACAGCATTATCAACTAAACATTGTTGTTGGATAATTTTCATTTAAATGAAAACCATTACAAAAAATGCACACAAAATCGAAGTTCATCAAAATATTTTGCAATTACACATTGTACTGCCGCAGGTAACAATTATAGGATCCGATTACTCTGTTAAATGGAGCAAGAAATGGAAAAAATACAAAAACAAAAGCAAAAATATCAAACAAACGGCCAAATGAAAAAATTAATACACACGAGAAAAACGAGTAACAAAAAAAGACGACGTCTAATAACGACTATAAGGTACCCTACCGAGGTACTTTGTGGGAGAATAGAATCTTCATAAATAAATAAAATATAAAAGCATTTTCCAGGGCCATCACTGTGTGGTTTTTTGGGATATTTTTCAGAGGCCATGCCTTATATATTTCTTAGACTTTTTCATACTTTTTCAAGGCCTATCGATCAGGATTTTTAAAGAATATTTTTCAAGGACCAAGGCTCTGATCCCTTGGCTTAGATTTTTTAAATAACTATTTTTCAAGAATCGTATCAGATTCTTGGCCTAAGAGACCTTGATTTAAAAAAAAAATTCAAGTACCAATATAGCCATAAGCGTGGATTTTTTCAAGTACCATCGGAGCCTTGGGCGTGATTTTTTAAAGATTATTTTTTCAAGTACCATCAGAGCCTTTGGCGTGATTTATTAAAGAATATTTTTTCAAGCACCATCAGAGCCTAAGGCGTGGGTTTTTAGAGAATATTTTTCGAGCACCATCAGAGCCTTAAGCCTGGATTTTTTAAAGAATAATTTTTCAAGCACTATCAGAGCCTTAGGCGTGGATTTTTTAAAGAATATTTTTTCATGCACTATCAGAGCCTTAGGCGTGGATTTTTTTAAAGAATATTTTTCAAGCACCATCAGAGCCTTAGGCGTGGATTTTTTAAAGAAAATTTTTTCAAGCACCATCAGAGCCTTAGGCATGGACTTTTTTAAAAAAATATTTTTTCAAGCACCATCAGAGCCTTAGGCATGGACTTTTTTAAAAAAATATTTTTTCAAGCACCATCAGAGCCTTAGGCGTGGATTTTGTAAAGAATATTTTTTCAAGCACCATCAGAGCCTTAGGCGTGGATTTTTTAAAGAATATTTTTTCAAGCACCATCAGAGCCTTAGGCTTGGATTTTTTAAAGAATATTTTTTTCAAGCACCATCAGAGCCTTAGGCGTGGATTTTTTAAAGAATATTTTTTTCAAGGACCATCAGTGCCTTAGGCGTGGATTTTTTAAAGAATCTTTTTTTCAAGCACCATCAGAGCCTTAGGCGTGGATTTTTTAAAGAATATTTTTTTCAAGCACCATCAGAGCCATAAGCGTGGATTTTTTAAAGAATATTTTTTTCAAGCACCATCAGAGCCTTAGGCGTGGATTTTTTAAAGAATATTTTTTTCAAGCACCATCAGAGCCATAAGCGTGGATTTTTTAAAGAATATTTTTTTCAAGCACCATCAGAGCCTTAGGCGTGGATTTTTTAAAGAATATTTTTTTCAAGCACCATCAGAGCCTTAGGCGTGGATTTTTTAAAGAATATTTTTTTCAAGCACCATCAGAGCCTTAGGCGTGGATTTTTTAAAGAATATTTTTTTCAAGCACCATCAGAGCCTTAGGCGTGGATTTTTTAAAGAATATTTTTTTCAAGCACCATCAGAGCCTTAGGCGTGGATTTTTTAAAGAATATTTTTTTCAAGCACCATCAGAGCCTTAGGCGTGGATTTTTTAAAGAATATTTTTTTCAAGCACCATCAGAGCCTTAGGCGTGGATTTTTTAAAGAATATTTTTTTCAAGCACCATCAGAGCCTTAGGCGTGGATTTTTTAAAGAATATTTTTTTCAAGCACCATCAGAGCCTTAGGCGTGGATTTTTTAAAGAATATTTTTTTCAAGCACCATCAGAGCCTTAGGCGTGGATTTTTTAAAGAATATTTTTTTCAAGCACCATCAGAGCCTTAGGCGTGGATTTTTTAAAGAATATTTTTTTCAAGCACCATCAGAGCCTTAGGCGTGGATTTTTTAAAGAATATTTTTTTCAAGCACCATCAGAGCCTTAGGCGTGGATTTTTTAAAGAATATTTTTTTCAAGCACCATCAGAGCCTTAGGCGTGGATTTTTTAAAGAATATTTTTTTCAAGCACCATCAGAGCCTTAGGCGTGGATTTTTTAAAGAATATTTTTTTCAA